GGTGGGGGCAGAGTGTGGCCGTGAGCCCTGCACTGGTGATGTCCCCAGGGTGTCACCCTTGCTCCGGGAGGTGGGTGGGCTGGAGGATGTGATGGGGCTGGAGGTGGGCACCGTCAGGGTGGGGGTGGGATGGAGGGACACGTCCAGCAAAGCCCAACTGGGTTTAGGGGTGGGGGTTAGAGAGGTGGGGATAGGGGACACATCCAGCAAACCACCCTGGGATGGGGCAATGGGTGGGGGACATGTCCAGCGAGTCCCAGTTGGGTCTGGGATGGGGGTGGTGGAGCAGGGGACACATCCAGGGAACCCCAACCAGGTCTGGGATGAGGGTGGTGGAGCAGGGGGCACATCCAGGGAACCCCAGCCAGGTCTGGGATGGGGCAATGTGTGGGGGACACATCCAAGGAACCCCAACCAGGTCTGGGATGAGGGTGGTGGAGCAGGGGACACATCCAGGGAACCCCAACTGGATCTGGGATGGAGGTGGTGGAGCAGGGGACACATCCAGGGAACCCCAACTGGATCTGGGACAGGGGTGGTGGAGCAGGGGACACATCCAGAAAACCCCAACTGGGTCTGGGACGGTGGTGGTGGAGCAGGGGACACATCCAGGGAACCCCAACCAGGTCTGGGATGGGGATGGTGGGGGAGACACCTTCAACAGACCCGGGGGGGGGGTCTGGGCAGGGACCAGCTAACGTGGCAGTGGCTCCTCTCACAGCTCCGTCGGTGACCGATGTGGACCTGGAGGCGGGAGGGAGCAGGAAGCCCGTGTCCCAGCGGGACACCCATGAGGTGGGTGCTGCCCCGGGGACCTCCATTCCCTCCCCATTCCCAGGCGTGGACAGACTGTGGCCACCTGGGGACCAACCCCATGCCAGCCCCTGGGGACACCAGGGTAGGGGGGCACACTGGCACGGTCAGCTGCACCTCTGGGGCTCCTGGGGGTCTCTGGTGTGGCAAGGGGGACCCTGACACCCCCCTGGTTCCATCTGCAGGGCTACGTGGAGCTGCACGAGCTGGTCATGGACACCACGAAGGAGCTGTGCTGGATGGAGGCCAGCCACTGGCTCAAGCTGGAGGAGGACTTCAAGGAAGCCGGGCACTGGGGCCAGCCCCATCTCTCCTTCCTGACCTACCGCAGCCTCCTGGAGATCCGTCGGGCTTTGGCCAAAGGTGGGGGACACCGGCAGGGGCTGGGAGGGCAGCGGGGACCCCGCGCTGGCCGGTCGGTGACGGTGATGTCCCCACAGGCGCCGTGCTCCTCGACGTGGAGGCCAACTCGTTGGCAGCCATCGCCCACGTCCTCATCGACCAGATGATCTACGAGGGGCAGATCAAGGCTCAGGACCGGGATGACATCCTGAGGACGCTGCTGCTCCAGCACAAGTAAGATGGGGGCCGACAGCCCCATGGGGTGGGGGGGACACCCCAATATCCAGGCTGGATCCAGCCCCAGCGATCCAGCCCCACTGGAGCCTGGCATGGGGTGGAAAAGCCCTAAAAATAGCCAAGTTTGGGGGTTCCCGTGCATCCCTGGGGCTGGGGCTGGTTTTATGGGGTTTTGAGGGGGGGTCAGTGGTGCTGGCCCATCTGACACCGTGTCCCCCCCCTGGTTGTTCTAGACACCCCAGCAAGGACCAGTCGATGGGGACCCTGCTGCCGGCGCAGCTGCAGCGCTCGGGCACTGGCCGGGGAGAGACGGAGCAGCCGCTGCTGCGGGAGCAACAGCCCATGGAGATGCGCAGGCTGGCAGGGACCGAGCAGGCGAGTGGGGAGCAGGGGGGCACCGGGGG